CAGCGACGTCAGCGTCGGCTTGCTGCACGTTGTTGTTGTTGTTGTCGCAAACATTTTTGCATGTGAAAAGCCATTTGCACGCACTGTCATTCACTAACACCCGCCTACAACGTACGCCCCCCCCCCCCTCCCCCACGTCCAATCGTGTCATTGTCTGCCAAGGCATTATATGTATGTATGTATGTATGTATGTATATATACTTTCGTGTTTTTGGGCTTCTGTTTATGCTCTGTGCACACAATGAAAGTGAGTCTGTTTGTTCGTATTAACGCCATTTTGTTTTTCGCCGCAATGGCTGCCGGAGACTTGAAAGGGGGGGGGGGGGGGGGGGGGGGGGGGGCTGCAGGGCTGAAAAAACTAAAAAACATATATATTGCTGGTGCGGTTCACGGTTCGAACCGGCTTTCTGCTTATAGATTCGATGCAACCGAAAAGGTTGATTGATTTTCGGTTTTCGGATTCGCTGAATCACAAAGTCTGAGAGTCTGGAACGGCAATGCGAACAGAGCATGGCGCAATCGGTAGCAGCCGAAAAGCAAAGCTTTTGTTTTAATATTCTATGTTTTCCGTCTAATTTTCATGCAATTTGGCTGCAATTTGCGTCCTTTCCGCCCAAATGCGAATTGTTAACAATTTCATTTCGCCGCGGCGAGCAAAGCGAATCGAACGAAAGCGAAAGTGAATTTAAGGGAAAAGACAGCGCAGAAAAGAAGGACATGGCTTGGTCGCTGATGGGAAGGGATGGGGGAGGGGGCTGGAGGGGGTTGGCAACGCCAAAAGCAGCGACAAATAAATTAAATAAAAATTTGCGTGGCCCGCTTTTTGTGCCCTTTGGCAAGAAGGAAATGAATGATTTATGGCGCACAGCAGGTCGAAACACGCAGAACTTGTGGGTGGGGGTGGGAGGAGGGGGAGGAGGAGGTGCTCCTTTTGCGCCGTGCCCTCGCTGCCTAATCCTTTTTTGTACTAATTTATTTACTTTGGCTGCCTTTTCAACTAAGCGCATAAATCAAATAAGCAAATAAAAATCAATTAGAACTGTTCTTCTACTTCTTCTTCTTCGCCTGTATATACCCTGTAATTGGCATGCAAATGTTTGTCATGTCTGTCAATGTTCTCATTGATCTCAGGGACAAATTTGTGCATTCGCTTACCTGCCTTTTGATCAACCCGAACGGAAATAAATGATGCAGGTAAACGCAGTGCGCAGGTACAGGGCATCTGCCGGTCGACTACTCTCGACAAAGTGCGCATTTTTTGTTTTGTTTTTTTCTTGTTTTGTCCACGAACTGGCTTTAAAATTAATTAAACTAAAAAGTTGCGCCAAAAATGCAAAGAAATTCATTTAAGTCGAAGGCTGACAACTTTTTGCCTGGCAACGAATTGGTAATGAAGTCGCCGCCGCCGGAAACATGCCTCAGGGACTCCAAGAGGCGATAGTGGAGCGGTACGAAAAGTCAGCGAAAAGGAAAATCTTTCTAACTTGACCCGACCCCTCCCCCCACCCCCTCCCTCTCACGCACCATGCATGCAGCAGGAATTTGCATTTGTTGTAAGTCCTGGCCCCTTCGGCTATCAGTTACAAGCGCCCCTCCCCCGCCCCACGCCCCCCCTCCATTACCAGCCCATCTATAATGGAAGGCCATCAATTTGAGCAACTGCACACAAAAGCCAATTTGAAGCTCGAAGTGTCGTCCCAGCCGCAAAATTCACATAATCCACAAATCCAAATGCTGCACGCGGACAGGTAAAACAAAAGCTACAACAAATTCCATTCTCTCCGTGGCTTGACATGCAAATACCCTGTAAATCGATACTGAGCAGAAATCAACAGAAACCAATTGAAATCGCCTATTTATCGCTTTCTTATCTTCCATTTATAAAAAGCGCATATCGCCTATTTATCGCTTTCTTATCATCCATTCATAAAAAGCGCATATCGCCTATTTATCGGTTTCCTATCTTCCATTCATAAAAAGCGCATATCGCCTATTTATCGCTTTCTTATCTTCCATCAATAAAAAGCGCATATCGCCTATTTATCGCTTTCTTATCTTCCATCAATAAAAAGCGCATATCGCCTATTTATCGCTTTCTTATCTTCCATTCATAAAAAGCGCATATCGCCTATTTATCGCTTTCTTAACTTACATCACTAACTAGTAAATAGCGTAAGATATCGCTTATGTATCGCCTGGCAGATAAATTCGCGATAGCAACAAAATGTCCCAAAAATTAAAACCTAAACGGAAGGAACGAGCAAATTAGGCGCTGATAATTAGAAAATTAAGTTAAGTGACTTTTTCAATAGACGCGAATTTTGAAACAGATTTGTATAAACATTGACCTGATCGACCCCATTCGCTAAGCTAAACACACAATGGGTATAAAAAGCAAATGTGAGACATAAATCCTATTCAGGATTCCCAGCCACAAAGGCCATACTCAAGGCGAGCTATCGGAGGCCAGTTTCTGTAAACCAAATGAAATATATTTAAATGCATTATATGGCACGTCAACACGCATACACACACACACACACACACCCGCGTGCACACACACATGTGAAATAAGGAAAACAAATTCGAAGCTCATTATCATGCCCATTTCAATATCAATTTCCGGACATATCGCACTTGCGGCAGACATGAGAAATCCTTTCAGACATTTTACAAATGTCCCAAACCCAGAATTCATTTCAAATGGAAAACCTATATATGTGTATGTGTGCGTGTGTCTGCGTGTGTCTGTGGGGGGTGTGGGAAATTGTTTGCTGTCAGCTGTTTGCAGGCCTTTTTTGGCCATGTGTGGCCCGGTCGGTCGCCGGGCCAGGTTCCGGCTTTGATGTGGCCAACAGCAACCCTCCAGAGACTGGTTACAAACTAAATTTGCATAATTCGCACTGCCAACAAACACAAAGTGCTGATTAGTTTGGCAAATCAACCTCTGCCCCCCCCCCCCCCCCCCCACCCCTCCCATCCCCACCCACCACATATCACACACGACAGCAAAAAAGTGGTTCTAGTCGGGAGCTACCAACTAGGGGATACCCTGAACCCTCTTCTTCCAACATCAAATGCATATATATATTCCATTTTAGAAGCTATATGTCAAGTTTGGTGACTCTAGCTCCTATTATTCACCAAAATTGCCCAAAAAACAGGATATCGATATCGATTTTTATCGATTGCTTGGAAACGGAGTAAGTTATCGATTATCGGAAACAAACTCGATCTGCGCGGGAACTAGGAGCATCTACATCTAAAATATCAGTATCTAGCTCTTATAGGTTCTGAGATCCTTGCGTTCATACGGACAGACGGACGGACAGACGGACGGACAGACGGACAGACAGATGGACATGGCTAGATCGACTCGGCTATTGATGCTGATCAAGAATATATGTATATACTTTCTGCCTGTTACATACATTTGGATTTTGCACAAATACAATATACCCTTATACCCATTTTTAATGGATTCAGGGTATAAAAATGAAGAAAAGTCGACCCCTTTCGAGCGTGTCAGGCAAATATGCTGTTTCGCAGCAAAACAGCATTTTTGTGGCCTCAACTTTTGACCAAAATTCAAAATCTCATTTCGGGCCAATCTCGTATAATCCTTAAATCTGCCAAATACTTAAGCTGCAATTAAGTTATTTAGGACTTGCAGGTTATTCAACCAGGCCAGCTCTAACTAAGTTCATTTTAAAGCTATTTATACTCTATACCAATTAAAAATGACTCAATCGGGTATACTCGGGCTGTGGCAATGTATGTAACAGCCAGAAGAATGCATCTTCCGTTCTTAAAGAACTTGAGCACAAGAGTAAAACGATTTATTAAATGTTAACCGAACCGATTAAGCAGGATCAATAACTATCGATACATAGACATTTCAATTGGTAGACTTCTTTAAGAAGATTTAATACCCTTGAAAAGAGTGAGAATAGGGATTTGATATATACATATATGTGTGTATATACATATACACACACAAAGGACAAGTTTATCTTTTGCTTTCGATATAATTTCCCATTTCAATATCATCGATAAGTATCGATTTTGAAATACGATTTTGTTGGTATATCTCGGAAATCGAAAAAGCAGGAGATTTTATAGGAAGGATTTCGTATAATATGCAGATTGGAAATATGTATATATATATATATATATTCTACTTTTTCCGACCTCTTTAAAAATGGGATTTATATGGGTATGTGCTCATATTAACTTTATGAGCACCAAAAATGATTACGATCAATTTTGCGTGATGTGGCCGACGGGTACAGTCACAGTGGCGAGTTTACAGGGTATATCCCAGTCTTACATCTTAGACTAAAGTTCTTAATCTAGTCACGAAAGCAATTAAATATATCTAATTGATATGACGAACACTTTTACACATTGGGAGCTTTTAAAATTATCAATATGTACCTAGACTAAAAAACTAAAAATCGATATTTATCGATTCACGGAAACGGGTGGAAACGGCGGAAGTTTTGAAGTAAACTCGACCTGCGCGTGCATTGAGAAAGACATTTCAAGTCCAGCTTCGAAAGTCTCTAAGATCGACAGATGCACGGATGCTGCAAAAAATCGGTATACCCTTGCTTACTATTTTGCAATGGGTATATGGCATTCTTAGAATGGGATTTGAACGCATTATTAGATTAATAACGTCAGCTACCCAGTGTGTATCTGATGAAAAGCATAATTGTTACAACCATTTTTCACGTATTTTCCGCAACAGCAGGTGGAATTTTCAAAATCGCTGGAGCACGCCCATTTGGTTGAGAACATTGAGTTTTTAAGGGGATGGTTTAAAACTATGCTTGCAACAAATCGCATTGAGTTTCGCCAAGTCAACCCATTTCCACCTAAGGCGGTGGATTTGCCGAAAAGTGTGAAACAATCAATCGAAAGGCGATCAACAATCAGTCAATCAGTGAATTAAGACAAACACTTTTCTGTATACAGATTGTAGTCAGTAATATAATCAGTGATGCGATAAGTTAGCTATAAAATAAGTTAGAGTATACGCTGATCGGTGTACTTTTCGATCCTACAGTCTAAATAGTACATACGATGACTGGCAGCGATGTGGACGAGTCAAAGGCTGCCAGCTTGCACATGGAATGACTTAAGCCTAAAGTGCCTTAGTCTAGATGAAGAAATCTCGACAACTGGAGGTCATCTCAGCTTGAGCGGCTGAATGTCAGCGATTCCATGCTCCAGAGCCGGCGATTTGACGCTGGCCAAACACGTTGCTTGAAGGGATTTGCCAGGCGGCCGTTTAATGCATTCGTCAAAGTAGCACTTCTCCACGTTGTGCAGAAACTCAACGAGCAGCTTGGCATCGCCCCCATTGGGTCCCGCAAAGTACTCGCATTCGTAGCCATGTAGCCTGAGGTCGCGCAGACAGCAGTCGAGGAATTCGGAATTGGCCGAATACCAGTTGTTGTGCCGCATTAGGGGAATGCCGAGGCGTGAGCGCACAATGCCCGTCAGCCAGGTGTCATCGATCCAGAAGATGGGCATGCGTGCCGCCTCCGCCACCAGCCTGGCGGCAGTGGGCACATTTGTGATATACATCCAGCCGGATAGATAGGCCGGATAGAGGGCGTGCGAATACTCCTGTCGTGTCACATACCATTTGCTCGCCTGCAGCCGTATCGGCCGCTTGGCGTCGAGCACAAAGCCCGCCAGCAGGGTGCTGCTGGTGGCCAGCGCCGGCTGGCTAAGCTCCAGAGATTCAAGATAGCGCCGCAAATGGAATACATCGTAGATGATGTCATCGTCCAGCTTAATGATGAATTTGGCGCGCTGCCGGCATTCACCGGCCGCCCAGCGCAGACCCATCACATGCTTGTAGCTGAGATTGCGATAGTCCTCCACAAAGTTACCCTGCAGCAGGTCCCCGAAGCGCGCCTGTTCGTTAGCCAGCTGCGCCTGTGTCAGGAAGCGTTCACGTGCCGGCAGCGCGGCCAAAAGAAAGACGCGTTGCAGCCCCATCTCGGCCAGCTTGCTCTGGGCGATCGCCTGGCGGTGCGCGGCGCGCAGTGCATCATGCCCCGCATACGAGGTGACAATGAGCACAGCTGGGTGGTATATGGATTGCAGGATTAGTTGGACAAGCATGAAACTATGCGTGGCACGACTCACCCAGCAGCTCCCGTTCGGCCCGTCGACACACATTGCTGGCCAGCAGATAATCAAAATCGCTCAGATTCAGCAGGGGGCCAGCTCCTGGCTGCAGCTGCTGCTTCTTTGCCAGATGAGCGCTGGCCGCAACTGTTGACTTGTCCTCGTCGCTGTTGGCTGGCAAATGGACAAGAAACTCATCCCGTTCCAGTTTGCGGCGGGCGGCACTCTCACGCAGCGGACTTGTTATGTAGCTGATGCCCAAAATGATGAATACGATTAACGATATGGCAATTGGTAGCAATCTGCAGCCGCGCATGCGCATCTTCAAACATTCTATTATCTTAGAGCTCTGTGTGTTGTGTGTGTGTTTGTGTGTGTATGTATGTGTTTGTGCGTGTGTATGGTGTGTGTGTGTGTTTGCGGCCAAAACAAAAACTGATAAATAAAAATAATATGAAAACTAGGGATGCACAAAATGCATCGATGTTTTCCATTTAAAAATCGTGCTATCGATATCGAACCATCGAGAGTAGCAATACATATATCGATATGCAGCAGCAATTGTAAGGCTTAAGAAGATTACGCAGCGCCAATGCTTTTACTGTTTGAACTGTGCACAGCATTATGGCGTATTTGTCATATTCTTATTTGTTTATAGTTAACAATTAACAAATTGTGATTGACAGTTTGTAATGTCATTGTAAAAACTCAGTATACTCGCGTACAACTGTTTTAAACAAAGTGTACTCTTATATATTTTGTTAAAAATAAACTGAATTGAACCCATGTGTTCAAATTGTATGTGAGTTTGGAGGGAGCGGCAATAATCGACTTATCGTGATGCAACCCTGTCGAATCGATTAATGTTGCGCGCCCAGTTCCCAATTTGCCATAGCTAATTGTGCGAGTGCGCGCGGTTTCTTTTAAACAATTCAATAATAACCGAAACAACAACAAAATAAACCAATTTTAATACAAATGCATAATTTTTAACTGTAATTTAGTGCACTCTCTGCGTATTATGACCGAAAACATGGCGCGCACCGCCTATGACGTACAACGGGACTTTGCATTAAGCAGCGGCTTGCGTTCCGAAATTATCTGGGACTCGTAGGTTTTGGAAACATATACATGATATATGTTTATGGTTGTATCTGTGTATGAAATGAAAGCTTATCAATTAAATTGCCCACAGGCTGGCGCCCGACCAGGCGGACGTGCTGCACCAAAAGCTGGCGAATCTGATCTGTGAGCACGATGGCAGCGGCGGGGGGCAAAGTTCCAAGGCGCTGGCTAAGCAGCGCCAGCTGCTGTTCGAGAACATATGGAAGCAGCGCATCTATACGAATGGCACCCTGCTGTCAGCCATTATCTATGTGCTGGTGACCAAGGAGAGGCACCCGGTATTGGCACTGCAGTCGACCAGCTACAGCTGCCATCCGGTGATACGTACGCGGAAATGCATGCGACCGGACGGTGGGAACAGCGAGGGCTGCTGCATGATCTTCATCGATGAGCAGGGACGTGTCTACGCCAATTGGCACAACTATGTGCGCAACAATGCCCTGCCCGGGGGCACCATGATAGCGCCCAGCCAGGGTGTCTATACGTTTAGCAACGACGAGGTGCAGCTGATGGTGCAGGCGTCGCCCGCCTCATGGTTGAAGCAGAAGGTGCTGAATGTCAGTGATAAATTGGTAACAATTGGTGGCATTGTGGCCACGGTGCCTGTGGCTGCCACCCTAGCATTGCCCGTCGCTGGACCCATACTGATGGCAGCCACCGTTGTCGGCGTCTCGACGACTGCGTATAACACGGTGCGCTCCGCCTCACGGCTAATTGATCGCCGCTGGCACGGTCAGTCCACATCTTTGGCGGACAGCGAGGCACGCAGCAGCTGGTTGGGCGTGGCGGGCGGAGTTGCCGGCCTGGGCGTCACCGGTGCCAACACGGCGATAAAAACCATTGCACGTGGCAGACCAGGCATAGCCACCAATCTGGCGGTCAAGAGCATCAATGTGTCCTCCATTGTGCTCTCCGGCACAGGTGTGGCAAATGGCGTCTACGAGCTGTACCTGAAGATCAGCGACGATCAGCCGCTGAATAACTACGATATAATGCAGATCGCCTCCAGTCTGCTCATATTCACGCACTCCGTCAACAATCTGCGCATCGCCTCCAAGGCAACCAATGGCTATAGCCTGCGTCGGGCACTGCGCCAGCAGAGCCGCAAAGCGTTTGAGCGCATCGCGCAGGAGACGGCCAAGCTGCACGAGCACAAGACCGGCGGCAAGTACGACATTGTGCGCATCATCAATGATATACCCTATAAGGAGGCGCTGCTCAGCCTGCACAAGATCCATACGCATCTGGCGCAGGGCGCCACCGTTCTGGGCGCTGCAGCTGCTGCTGGCGTTCTGCCCAGCTTTGTCAATTTAACGCCCGGCGGGCAATTGCGTCTGGATATGCAGCAGCTCGCCAGCCAGCTGGGCAGCAAGTTTGTCCAGCAGATTGGCCATTTGGGCAGCTTCACGGATGTGCTCGACAGCCTGACCCGCTACTTTAGCGAGCAGGCGGTCCAGTTGCTGCTCCAGCTGACGCGCACCTTTGTCGAACAGAATGTGGAGAGCATTGATCGCAACCTGAACACGTTTGTCTCCACGGAGCTGGTGCTCTATCGCATGCTGATGCACTGCATCAACAGCTATGAGAACTGTGCTGTTCACTTTCTAGAGCAACGTCGTTACGAGATTCTCGATGTCATTGGCAACTACTTTCAATCCCTGCAACCGGAGCCGGCTAGCGCACAGAATTGCCGCCGGCGCAAGTGCCCCAAGTGCCAGGGTGTCTACTATATGTGTCCATTGTAATGGCTACTTTCCACAGCTGCCAAAAAACAAAAAAAGTCATCTGTTATGTGGTTTTCAATGTATAATGATTTAGAACAATGTATTTTATTTAGTTCGGCCGATTTAACATATTTCTATTAATTAAGCACTTAATACTATTTAATATATACACAACAAATTCATCGAATTTTCACAACAAGCAAAAGCTCATCAAAGGGCATTCGCTTGGTTAATCGGTGCCGTCAAATGCCTCCCACATGCGATCGAATTCAGCCTGAAATTCGCTGGCAATCCGATGATGGGAGGTGATGACCAGATTTTCCCAATTGGCGCCGAAGCCGCCCTGTGTCCAGTTGACGGAGCCATTGATGACCACGCTGTACGTGGCCGGTGGACCATACGAGCGTCGCTTCAGGCTCCAAATGTGATCGACCCGAGTGCGTCCGTCGATCACACAGAATTTGTGATGCATGAAGCCAACAAATGGCTGGCTGCGGGCCATAAGGCCGGCGCGCATCAAATTGAAAATGTAGGCATTGATCGGTGTCGCCACGGGATGGTTAACAATGAGGCGTACCGCCACATTGCGCTGCAGTGCCTTGCCCAGGGCAAGCAGAATCTCCGGCGAGCTCAACGAATACATGGCCAGGTCAATGCTGAATTTAGCACGTGCCAGCAGTTCGATAATTCGCTCGATGTGGCGCTGGGTGCAGTGCGTGTTTGCACATGTGAAAAATTTACCCCATTGGCTGTGCGCCCGATGCTCCTGGAAACACTCAAAGCCCAGCTCGTTGAACATGTGCACTTCGTGGACCTGAGCCTGCTGCCATTTCAGCCGGTCGTGTACACAATTGTAGAAATACCAGAGCACCTCGGAGGCGGCAATGGTACCGACGCCAATGATGAGCGTTGACCAAATCGGATGGGTCCTGATCCACTGAATCACTACGAAATGCATTAATATCATATTCAGCAGTGCTTGAGGCGCACTTTCTACTTACTTTTTGGATAAGAACATATCTTACGCGCCTACGTAACTTGAATTGCTGCTGTCGATGCGAACTGGAACTGGCTCAGACGAAGGCCGTGAACTTTTTGCCGTGAACTGACTCTTCGGCTTATCTTCGTCGTATGTGGTAAGTTTTTTTTTTTATTTACACATTTTAATGCAAAGAATGCAATTTTTATTTTCTAAAAGTAATTTAAATTAATTTGCTTATTATATATTGCAATTTTAGCATAATTTACAAATTTCAGAACTGCTGGTTCCGCAAAGAACATGTTATTTACATGCTGTTATCAAATGAAATGAAAGTGAGCAAATCGCACGCGATGAGGAGCTAAGAAATGTTAAAAATGTACTACCAGCAGTATGCACGCATCTAAACTCTGTTAAAAATACCCAATTTCGTATATAATAGAACATAAAATACCAAATACCAGTGCGCGCTCAATTTGATCAAATTTATAGAGCAATTAAATGTAAATAAGATAAATACGGAAGAAAGAGGTGGCATTCATAGCCATACTCTGTGCTACGTCTATTCGTTTGTGTCGTGAATTTGCGGCACATGCATATACAGAAGTTATATGTAAACATTTGCACACCAAAAAGTGCAGTTTACTTTTCGTTTAATGAATGATCAATTGGTTTTGTAGTCAATGTTAATTTCAAACTTAAACATCCATCCAACACCTGCCCAATGGCAAAATACCAAAAAGTAATACCAAAAATAAATACCAGAAACTTACAGAAATTATACATTTTGTTGGATGTGTGTATGTATGAACAACAGCTACCAACAGCAAGCAGTGTGAGCGAGCGAGGAAACGACCAAGACGGTTCGCCGAGAGTTACGCACTGAGTATGTGCTGGCGGCGGATAACGGCGGACGGACCTAAAACAAAGTGTGCGTGTGCGTGTGTGTGTTTCTCTTTATTTTCTTTTGTAACAACAATATTAGTTAAATTATAATTATACTGTACAAATCGAAAACTGCAGAACTGAGCAGCATTTTGTGTGAGTGCAAATTGATTTCGTTGTGCTTAGGTGTGAAAATGACGAACTTAAATATCAGCTAAGTAAAAGCAACAGCACTCAATTTGCATCCAACTCGTATTCGTATTCATTTGGGAGGAAGCATTGAATATTTCAGCAGAAAGAAAAATCCAAATCAACAATTATAAGTAATTACAACTACTACAAGTACAACTACATACATATGTATAACTGCTTTAGCAGCAGCAGCAGCACCAGCAGCAGTAGCAGAGCAGCGACAGAGCAGCCACCACGGTCGTTTAGCAGCCAGAACCAAGAAGACGAAGAGCAAGACGAAAAGTAAAACAACAATAAAGCTGGCCATATTCATACAAAAAAAAAAAAATTTAAAAAAAAAAAGCAGCAGCAGCAGCAGCAGCATGTGAGCTAATCAGAATCAGTGAAGGCAGCCAGAGGTTTTTTTTTCTTGTACGTATTCGCATCTACCATTGCTAAAGAATTTATGAATTATAATAAATACTTGGAAATGGAAACTGCAATCGAAATTACATGTTATATATTTATAAAAATACGCAAAGCTAAATCGACGCAGTGGTCGCAGTCGCAGTCGCGGTCGACGTCGTCTCGTGGTGTCAACGTCAACTCCAACCGCGCCGCTGTCTCGTTTGTGCGTGTGCGTGTATGTGTATGGGTGCGAGCGTATTGTGTCTGTGTGTGCGTGGCCCCTTGCCTGCGAAGGTGGGTTGGCTGCTCATAAAAAGGCGCCTCCTTTCGCCAGGCAAGTGGGTTGTTCACACACATTATTGTTTTTGTTTTTGTTGTTGCGTTGCACTGTGCACTGTGCACAGCGCCTGCTGTTTGCCTGGTGCTTTGCTTATTTTATTTATTTATTTATTTTTTTTTCATTTTTTTTTTTTTTTTTTTTTGTCGTATCTGCCTCTGCCACTGCTCTGGCCTTTCATTTCGTTTTCATTATGAAAATGCTGAAAAGTAGCGCTGAGTTAAAAAAAAGAAAAAGAAAAAGCAAATCGCTGCGAGTCCAAATCTTATCGTCAGTAGCTTAGCACTCCCCCAGTGCCAGCTCCCTGCCCGTCCACAAACACGCCTGTTCCGTTCCGGCATCGATGCCGTGTGTCGTGGTGAATACCAAAGTATTGATTCCATATTTTTTATGCACACACTTTTGCAATAGCAGCGCAGCAGAATTCAAAGCGCAGCTTGAATAAACTGTAAATCAAAACAAAACGCATAATATATCAAATCAAAAAGCAAACAAACAAAATCAAAAATATAAAAACAAAATAATAAGAAAAAAGATGACGGACATTGCGGAGCTGTTAAACAGCATGTCGAGCAAATTTAACAGCGACTGCGCCACCAGCACCGCCGAGGGCGGCACGCTGCTGAATTTGGACCTGGCCGAGGATAAGACGCTTAAGTGGCGCAACTTGGCCCATAATCAGTTTGCTTGTAAGGACAAGGATAAAAAGCAATGCCACAAAAGCGACGAAATGCACGAGAAGCAACAGGAGGCGCAGCAGCAGCAGCAGCAGCAGCAGCAGCAGCAGCAGCAGCAGTCGCCACCGAAGCTCGATGCGGCAGTCAAATGTGAGGCGGAAGCTGCAGACGGCGCCCAGCAGCTACCTCAAGGCCAGACCCAAAGCCAAAGGCAGGCCAGCGACGCTGACGGCGACGCCGATGGCGACGCTAACGTCGGCCGTGCAGAAATACCCAAACAAATTGCGTCGACGGCAGCAGCAGCAGCAGCAGCAGCAACAGTGACAGTGACAAGCGAGATGCCAGTAAAAGAAGCGGCTGCAGCAGCAGCAGTGGCGACGACGTCGCCGTCGCCGCCGCCGTCTAACGAAACGACGGCAGCGGCAGCGGCAGCGGCAACAGCCGACAATAAAAACGGTAATGACGTTGTTGTTGCCGAGTGCGCAGCCGAAGCAGCCGAAGTAGCAGCAGTAGACGATGACAATGCTGCTGCCGCAACAGAAGAAGAAGAAGCAGCGGCAGTCAAATTGGAGCAGGAAGCGTGTAAAAGCGCAGCAGCTGTGGCCGAACTGGCCACGCCGTCTGCGCACATTTCCATAGCAACTGCAGCAGAAACAACAAATACAACAACAACAACAGGCGAAGGCATAAAGACTGAAACTGAGATGGAAACCGCAAATGCAACAGCCAAAGAGGAGCTTCGAGAGGAACAGCAACAGCAACAGCAACAGACGCCGCTGCAGGAGCAAACGCTGACTGCGCAGTGCGCACCAAGCGCAGACGCAGACGCAGCAGAAGCAGAAGCAACAGACGAGGTCACATCGTCGGTTACAGTCGCAGCATCATCGGCAACGGCATCCCCAGTGCCAGCAGCAGCGCCAGCGCCAGCCGCTCCACTTGTTGTCAACTCTGCTGGCAATAGTAGTAGCATCGGCAGCAGCAGCGACAATTTTGACGTCGCCGCTGACGCAACAGATTCGACTTCGATGAATGCGGTTGCTGCTAGCGACGACGTCGCAGCTCCAATAGCAACAACAACAACAACAGCGCAAGGCAGTGCTGATAAAAACGTAAGTGTATTCGTTTGTGTGCGCGTGTGCTTGTATGCACAAGCGTGCGTGTGTGTGTGTGTGTTCGTATGTATGTATGTATGGGTTAGTGTAAGTCGAATTCTTTTAATTTTTGTAGTTCGTTTAATATACTTTCCGTTTTACTTTGTGCCAATGCGCCCCAATTAAACAGAATTGGGCAGCACTGGTAACTCGTTTATCGAAAATGGATTCCGAGAGCGCGGCGAGAGGGAGAGGCTAATCAAAACAAAAAAAAAACGGTATATCCCGTTCTGCATGTATGCATGTGTGTAGTCTAGGCAACAGTTGTTGACGCAAGAAAGAACAGTTCAATCTTTCCAATTGGATGTCTATATAATTTAGTGCGATAATGTTGGGAGTATAAAACAACTTCTAATTGGTGACTTTGCTTAAGGTGCAAAAATAAAACATAAGCATTCAAAAACATTTTTTTACGATTATCAAATCTTAATATATAAAGTCCTATATATGTAGATATGTATATACAAGTTTTTGTCCTGATTGACTGACTAATTGGGTCATAGTTCAAGCTCTAGAAATCTCTAGTTTCCAACTGTTTCTCATGTGAGCAAAATGAAAGTTTGTTGTCATTTTTCAAGATCCTTGGGAAAATTCATTTGCAAGGTGCCTTACACTTTTGCCATATTCACCATATGACATACAAATGTGGGTCAAGGGTCATATGTGGTCAAGTTGAATATTCAGCTTTGTGCAAATTTTCAGAGCCCACGAAAAACCCTCGATATCACCTTTTTGTTGCATCTGCTCGAACGGAAATATCTATCTAAAGGTAACTTGTCCAAAGCCTGGCGAAAACAACTTGGCCCGGGCAAAGCTGTGTAATATACCTATTAGATATACCTATATATATATATATATGTATATATATGTATTCCTCCATTTGCACAGGTTCGTCTGGGAATAGGTGCAAATAGCTTTTGGCACATATCATGACAAAATCAATATGAAATAAATTTGATTTTAATAGGCCATTTAATCAATTTCATATTAATTTATAATGATAGTTTGGCTAATCACGTAAATGTATGTATATGGGAAAGGGAATCATTTATTTCCGTCGCTCTTCAATCAGCGCCATTTACAGTAGTCCTTGCGGGGAAGAACCGTCGAGTTTTCTTTAATGTTCATATGCGTAATATTAGAATTCTTCCAGAAGTTCTCATTATCGAACTGTGCTCGCATCGGTCTTATATATATATATATATATATATGTATATATAGTTGCTTGTTGCTAAGAATTTTCATCAACTTATGTAGTTGATAAGCACTTACAAATCGTATATAGACAGAATTGTAGTGTTTGTAATATAAGAACTGCTTTGGAATACAGTGAAAACATTAAAGAGTTAACAAGTTACAAAACAATACTGAACCCTCTTCAATGCGATAGCTGTCAAATTAAAGATACTTGATAAATATATATATATATAGCTATGGCTGCATAAAACAGGATTTCGATATCGATTGTTATCGATGACGTGGCAAGCTATCGGGTTCGGATTATCGG